TTTTTGTTAATATATATATATATATATACAATATATTGTATACGTACCATGTTTTTAAAGGATTAGGGAGACTGCGAATGTGTTGGTTGTGTGGGATCCTTTTCGATGATGATCGAAAAAGCCGACGTTCCAACGGATCCCAGAAGAACGTTGGAGGAAGACTGATCGATCAAGTATTTTCCGGACGTGTTTGTGTTCTCCTTGTATGCTCCCACCTACTTCGATAAATTTTTTTTTAAATATATATATATTACATATATTATATATGTTTCCTTCTTTCTTTCTTCTTGATCCCACTCTATATTCTCACATTTCCTTATTTTCATATGGACATATATTCGTGTACATATACGTGTTTGTATATATGTTTGTATATAAAAAAGAGAGAGAGAGTATACGTAATAAGATAAGCTTTGTTCTTTCTCTTATTTCTCCCACCCTTCTTCCTTTTTCTCCTCCTCCTCCACCTTCTTCACCACCTCCCTCAATTTTTTACACTTGCTCTTTCGTTCTTCTTCAAGTTAGTTCATAGCCAAGTTTCGATTGATCAGATCGTAGATAATACACGTGAAACTGTCGTTGTTCTTTTTTTGAAATTTTTCTCTAATTTATCCTTTTTTTTCTTTCACTAGAGAGATTCTTTTTAAACGAACAACATTAACATTAATAACAACAAAAATATATAACACAACAATACTATCTTTCATAAACCACATCCACTTTCGATAAGGCTTTCATCATTGTCATCGTTGATTTAAACGTTACAAGTTTAATTCGTGATTATTTTAGATATTTTTATTACTATACGTTGTTCTTTTGTTTTTAAATTGAAATTTAACGATCGCGTAGCTGCAACCGAGAGGTGTAATTCAAACGATGATAAAAATTTTGGTTTTCGGTTTTTTTTCCTTTTGTTCTTTTTTTCTTTATTTTTATTTTGTTTTGTTTTTTTTTTCTTTTCCTTGAAAAATAATCGTTTTCCTTGTAAGTACTATTTACGCGACACACCGACACGATACGAATATTTATTTAATTATTTGACCGTTGACCATGACTCGTAACACATTTGTTTCTCGTCATAGCACTTTGTAATCTTCAAATGTCGGCCGTCAAATGACGGGGAACCTTTGTTATCTTAAAAGATAAGGGACACACAATTTCTTCCTCGAATACTCTTCCGACACATTTCTCTCACTCAGTTGGTTTTTGAATTATCACTTTAACGGTGATAAGTTTATTGAAAATTATCACTTTAAACTAACAATAAGTAAGCGTTGACATTCGTCGAAAACATTGAAGATTCATATATAGGGTCTTTTAACTAACTAAATATAAACCATCTTTGATATATCACTTATTTCGTACGATAGAAAAAAATATCAGAAAGAGAAAATATATTTTGTTCGAAGGCGCAAGTATGGTAATGGGCCGAATTTTTCTCTCTTGGTCATTTTTTCACGTCAGATTTCAAGGTCATCGTACGGTTTTTAAATGGGACTGCATATTTTCACTGGAACAGTCTTATAGCTTATAAGAAAACGAATCCAACGATATGCAACGAACAAAATATTTTCTCCTTCTGACATTTTTTTCTATCGTACGAAATAAGCGATATGTTTAAAGTGGTCTAGTTAGGTATAAACTATACAGAATAATTAAACTTATAAAAATGATTTTTTGTTAGAGTTATTAGGGTGAACCAAAAGTTCATGCATTTTTTTTAATAATATTTCCAAAGTAAATTTTACAAAAACAAACTCCATTATGCAGTTTTAAAATAAAATTTCAACACAATAAACTCACGAACTTTTAGTTCAAACTAATAGTTTTTAAAACATTTAATTTCAACAATATCGTTAGATTTGTGTGTGTGTGTGTGTGTGTCTGTGCATGTTTTTTTTTTTAATAAAATAGAAAAAAATATGGAAAAAGAATAAAAAAAAAAAAATAAAAAATAAACAAATTCTATTCGAATCTACATTTTCCGATGAGTTTTTTCAGGGTCAACGGTTAGGTTTCTATCCGACGGACAACGTATTGTCGTTATGACGAAACTACGATCGTTCATGGTTATCATCGTGATTTTATGATTGTCACATGACGACACGAACTGAAACCGAAGTGGTCTTATTATTCTCGCGGTTATGCCAAATAAAGTTTTACATGAGGACATTGAAATAGACAAAATAATTATCGATTCTTGCATCCAATTCGATAAATTTTCTTAATTATTTTCGTCGTCTACGTTAAGACTATTAATCATTCATGATATTCCTTATCTCGTACATTTAAATTGACAAAATCAATTATCCGCGATCTCTTTCGAATTATCAAATATTACTTTTATCGAATTATAATTCGACATATACTTTAATATACAAGTTTATTTTTATGCTTTTTTCTTTTTCTTTTAATCTCGAACGATTAGAATATCTTGTTTACAATTAAATCTATCGAAATAATTTTTTTTGTAGATTTGTTTTGTTTGCGAATGGGTGATATCTTAGGATGTATATTTTTTTTTTCTTTACATATTAACATTTAGTTTATTTTCTTTTTAATGATGTGATGGAATATTTGTCGTTAGACAAATTTAAGTATCTTTTATATGTGGATTATTTATTATTATTATATTAAAATTTTAAATTTTTGTATATTTCTGAAAAGTGCAAGCCTTTTTCTTTTTAGTACCAAATATTACAAATGTTCTCTCTCTTTAATTAAATAAATTATAATATTTTATATGATGATGTGATAATAATAATAAATAAATCTTTTATTGTAGGTCTTTGAATTTTTAATCAATATTATCGTACTAAGAAAGAGAAATGTATGCATAGTTCCATTTAACAAAATATTTATTTGATTGTTATTTTTCTCCGAATATTCAACGCGAAAAAAAATAAATTTGCATCACATGACTTTCCAGTTCGTATCAAAAAAACTATTAAAATCAATTGGTATTTTTTATTTTTACGTTTTAAAATATTTTAATTTTTTCGAGTTAAAACGAAACGAAGTTTGAATATTATTAATATTTATGTCTAGAATTTGCTATATTTTATTTTTCGTTTATATATACATACATAAATGAATAAATAGAAAGATCACAATCTGATTGATAGATAATATAACTAGTACCATCCAAAATGATTAACGAAACGATATCCATAGACTTGACACGAATTAATAAATTAAAAAAAAAAGACAAACAATATCTCGAATATTTATTAAAACAAAAATATATTATTTTACTTTTAATCGCATAACAAATGAATCTCACAACCTTACACTTAAAATAACATTGATCGAACTTCTCCTTGATAAATTTGTCTTTTTTACATAACCGTTGACTCATCAACGTTTTGTTGTTATAATCGATGCAAACTTAGAATATCGAAGAAAACAACCATGTTAGAGACAACACTTTTATCTAGATCTTCCACTTTTTTGCTAATTAAGCTACAATATAAGATATGAATAAATATTATGTGAAGAATAAAAAGACGACCTTAGCACCGTAAAGTCGACCTACGAACTGATTCGCAACTTACTGACCCTTCCTTGTGCTGCATGTTTATCTGTGACACGTGACGACCAGAATGAATGTTAAAAAGAATAAGGATGAGGGCACGAAACACAGCAGCAACCGTTTCATTTCTGCTGTCATCGTTGAAACTATTATCACCGATCATCATTATCATTCTCTTGTCGTTTCGTTGTTCACGTATCAGAGAGTTGAACCTTCCGCAAGTACAATTGAAAGTCAGCAGAGAAAGATCTCGGTCAAATGCATTACGCAATCTGCTAATTATAATCAATAAATCATAGACCATGATGATGATGATGATAATGATGATGACGATATTACTGGAATATTGATCATTATAGTCATATCTTATAAAATAAATTAAATGTATTGACGATAGTCGATAAAAACGAAAAAAATCAAAATTCTATTTTAAATTTATACGATAAATTTAAGGGAAGATTTTAAAACAAACTAAACAGAAACATATATACATTAAACTCAATAACCGAATGTAAACAAATGGTTCGTTACTTTGGAAGGTTGCTGACATGATTAAAAATGGTATTGCTGTGCAAATAATATTCGTTATGGTTTGTTAATCATCTATCGATCATCTATTTGGCAAGCTTCTTGTATGCATATTAATTCAACGAACCTAATTTTCCATCGATTATGAATCATATAGAGCATTATAATTATCTGCGATATTATTAGTTTTAGTTTTTAATGTACAATGAAACACAAGTTGAGATAAGAAATAATCATTTTTAAAAAAATATTATGCAAATAATGTTTTTTTCTAAATATAACAATAGAAGTATTGAAAGCTTTAAAAAGTCTTTCTTCATGTCTTTCTTCAAATTGCATAAATAGATTTTATAACGAATAGGTTTTTATAAAACGATATACACACATAATCTATTTAAAAGTAAAATAAAAATATATGTAATTCTGTGTATATATGAATCTAATGACAATCACATGAATGAAAAAAGGTACTACTGCCATCTTGGCATCATAAATCGAGCTATCAAAAATGATTTTCTGAAACGTGTTACCGATAGGCCTTACGCCTGGCGGCAGGCAACCCGTTCACTGTCTTCGTTTGTTACGTTTAGTTTGTCTTACTTACCACAAGATGGCTATAGCTTGAAAATGAGACGCGTTGGATCAAACAAGGATAGTAATAACAATAATCGTAATTAAAAACCTTAACAATAATTTTTTTTCCATCAAAAAAATTCACAATAACAAGAAATAATTTCATTCTTTCAAATGAAAAAAAAAAAGAAACAAAAACATAATAATATTTTCTTAAAAAACGATTTAATCAAAAATCTGTAATATCAATCAATACTAACAAATAAATAATTAAATAATAATAATAATATTACAAAAAGAAATCATTGAAAGCTTATAAAATTTTAAATAAAAAATAAACATGAGATCATAATGATTAATTGTAAGATTGTAAGACCATTCTAAAGACCAACCCTTAACATACAAGAGGCCAGTGGAAGTTATCGGGAGGTGAAATCGTTGGAACATACACAAAGAGATGGTTCGAAAAGCGAATATGCGGATTACAAGCAGCACCCTTTCGTGGTCGCGTTTTACTATCGATCGACCGTGAACAGATATAAGCAGGTATTCACGTTGCCACGAGTAGAGGAACCACTCGCTTGCGTGAAACAAGAAGAGTGAGTGAGAGAGAGAGAGACAAAGGGGAAAGAGAGAGGGTGAAAAAGCCACCCCCTTTGGTAGCACAACGTAGTGTACAACCGCTGACAGAGAATCAACGAGTACGCGCGGATTGCTTTATTCGATCATTCTCATTTTCTCGAACACTTTATTTTACTTTTTCACTTCATTATTTTTACGACTTATTCAAAATCCAACATCCCCTAGTTTTTTCGTTCTAACCTTTTTGATATTTCCGTTTTCGCTTTTTTCTTTTTTTTTTCTTTTTTCATTTACTCTTTTGATCTTACAAAATATTATTGATATTTCTTTATCTTTTTACATTTTTTTGTTTTCACAAAAATCTAAGAAAAATCATCGAAATCATACTATTTGATACGTAACACGTAACGGAGGGATCTATGAATAGATCTTGGACTTCCGCCATTTTCTGACACGCTTAGTACCCGTTATATACCCACTCATTCGCGCTTAACATCCTCGTCCTCGTCGTCGTCGTCGTCGTCGTCGTCGTCGTCGAAATTTTTGTCATTAACGTTTCGATCGGTGTCTTATCATTATCGTGAATCGAAACTTTTTCTTCGTGAATTTTATCAATTTTTTTTCCTCAACAATCTTCGAATAGCATTGGATAGTCATAGAAAAGAAAGAAAACTGGCTGGATTAACGGTATGAGAATGTTTTCGAGTGAGTGGTTTCTTAAGGAAACAAAAATATCTTTAAGGATTCTAATGGATGATGATCGGTCGAGTAATATCGAGATAAAACGGTGATGCCAATCTACTCACTCGACGAACTTATCGAGCGAGAAATGACGTCAAAAAGGGATGTCATCGAGGATATCTGCGGATGTTCCGCGATATCCTCAATCGTGCAAAAGAAAGATAATCTTGGACACTTCAAATCCACTTCGGGTGAGTAATTTTTCTCTTCTATTCTTTATATTTACTCTTATCCAATGCTTTATCCCTCCCCCTCCCCCATTTTGTTCCTTTGCACTTTTCTAAGTGGATTTTTTTATCGATTGATCAAAATTTTTTATTCTCATTCTTTCTCTCTCTTTTTTTCTTATTACAAAGGGCTATCAGGAAGATTATTATTTTCAACTGAAAATAATTATTTCAAAAGTATTAGGTTGTTTTGAAAATTTTTGATCGATATTTAAAAACATTAGATACACGTACATTAAAAATATCAATCAGTATAATCGTTTCGGGCAATCAAGTGAACTTAATTTATAACATAATTATAACTATTTTTATTCATAACTATAATCTAGGATGATAATTAATTTATGATTAAAATTATGGATACAATATAATTTTAACACACAATCGAATGTTTTAAAATACGAAAAGATTTTTTGGTATCCAAAAATGTTCTCATGAAGGTTACAGAAATGAACTCAAGGATGAACACACAAACTTTTCTATGGAAAAAAAATGTTGAATACTTTATAATACTTGAGTAAATAGATCGTCAAGGTCCTTAATAAATTCTTAGATTTATTTTCTTTTTTCTTATTATTGAGAATATCAAAAAATTTGTTCATTATTATCATTAAACTTTGAATAAAAATAATATTTTATCAATGAGACACGCAAATCACAATCACGAAAAACAATTCACACGCGAATTAAAGCACAACCATTTTTATTTTTAATAATTTAATTAAAGATTTAAATTATGAACCTAAATTAAGAAAAATTGAAGGATGAAAAGTAGGAAAGAATTTTTTTGGTATCTCTAATATATTCTCACTAAATTGTTTTTAAACAATTTGATTATAAGGATGATCGAACTTTTGTATCCAGAATAATTGAATATTTTATATGTAACACTTGAGTAAATTGTCAAGGTTTTTAATAAAAAACGGTCTCTACAATGTTGGACGATCGATATCCCACGCACGTGTTCTCGCAAAGGTGAAAAATCAATTAATGAGAAAGTTATTCTTTCTAAAGAAACATTTCTATCGTGACCTTGATCGTTCGATCGCATCACCCCTTTGAAAATTAATTCTCGATAGTATTTCATTTTCTTTATTTTTCTTTAATGATAATATAATTTTTTCATATTATAATTTTTTTATAATTTTAGTATATCGTG